CTCTCTGAAGCAATTATCATTAACTGCTGATGCTATAAAAAATGAAGAATTTCGACTGTGTGCATGGGTCTACATCATATAACCTCAAAGCACTCCGGAGCTGCAGGCAGGAGGAATCTTGGAGTTCACGCTAACCTGGGGTTTCACAGCTTAATTGCAGGCTGGCCTGAACTACATAGCAAGGCCCTATCCTCAAAGAAAAAAAAGAAAAGAAATAAACAGAAAGAAAGAAGAAAAAAGGTCAGGTCAGAGAAATTAACTGTTTGCCATCGTCTCAACACACCATTAGCCTTAAAGAAGGAAAAGGATGTTTACTTGTCACTTGCTAAAATCAGAATCTGGGTCTGTACTGCATTCAGCCTCTTAATTCAGGTCAATGTGGCCCGCAGCAGAAACCCTCAGTGCATTGCCAGTGAAGGGTACTGACTGGCCTGAAATTTGTAACTGGCGCTTTTTAATAGAAATGCAAGCAAGGGCTGGCAGAATGCTCAAATGGTAAGCAGCCTGGTTAGCAAGAAGGGCCAAATGGCAAGCACTGGGTAGCGTGTGAGGCCTAGAAGTTACCAAACTCTGCAACCACCAAAAAAAAAAAAAAGTTTCGAATGTAACAAAATTATAAAAAAAAATAATGGTGTTTCCACTAGAAATAATTATTTGAGCTGGGCATGATGGATACAGGCTGTAGTTACAGTATCAAGAGGCTGAGGCGGAGGACTTGAGTTTAAGGCCAGCCAAAAAACCCTGTTCTCAAAACAAAAAAAATGCAGTCCAAGTTACAAACTATAAATGGAATACATAATAGTTCTCTCTCTCTCTCTCCTCTTTTCTGAACAGGGGTTTCTCTTTATAGCTCAGGCTGGCTTTGAACTTGCAATCCTTCTGCTTCCTGCCTCCAGCGTTCTGGAATTAAGTTTATGCACACATGCCAGAGTCTCATAGATTTTTTCTAAATAAGCTTATTGATTCAGACATTTAAGAAAACAGCACAAGCTGGTTGTTTTATTCTAGAAGAAAAATTAGAGAAAACTTCACTAAAAATTGTATATTCAATCTGGAAAAAGGCCTTGGTTTTACCCAGTGTAGTACCCCATGTTCATGCAAAGGTGGCTTTGTTTTGTTTTGGAAAGTAAGTTTAAGACTTTGTTCCTATTTATCTTTAGTTTGAGGGCAATATTTGGCTATCTGAAAGTTCTTCATGATGACTATTACAATCTGCTATCGTGTGTGAAAACAGGGGCCAAACATCAATGGGTAAAATGAAATGGCATGGCAAGTGTGTCCATCAACTTTTAAGTTTATAAAACAATATGGCAGCCTGCAGGCTTTCGGTCTACAGGAAAGAGCCAACCGGAGCACCTTGCTTCTCATGAAGTATGAAGTACAAATGGTAACCAATCAGTGCTGTCTCCCACTCTGCTAATCCCACTCTCTGTCCTACTCCGCCCACAGAGACTTGCTAGTCTTTGTCATCCCATAGGATTTCACACTGGCCCACAAAGTATCAGTGAACATCAATGGTGATTGGACTAATTGAGAGCAATGGCAGAAATACTGAGGGTTTGAACTTCAGGGCTCCCACTTGCAAAAGCAGGTTTTCTATGCTTAAGTCACACCTCCAGCCCATTTATTGCTCGGTTGTTTTTTTGGAGATGGAGGTGGGGGGTCTTGTAAACTATTTGCCTGGGCTGGCCTCGAACCTGGATCCTCAGCCTCTCAAGTAGCTTAGGAATTCAAGCATAGCACTGGCACCCCGCCACAAATATTCCTTATTTTCTGAAGACATGGCAGACGGGAGAAAAATAATCTCTCCACAAACCTTAGGGCCTTGCCAAGGTTGGAAAAGGAGTTCCATGGCTCTAAGACAATGCCAAGGGTCCCTAAGGGCAAAACTTTTAATTTCTGCAACTTGCATCACCCTGCCTTAGACAACAATCCTGAAGCCATGCTACACACACTTCCTCGAGGGTAGTGAGCAGATGTGATTGGTTGGGCATATTTCCATTTCTTCGAATACTCTCCCTTCAAAATGTCTGGGCCTGGATAAATGAAGGGACATTTCCATAGTCCCTTACCCGAACAATTCTAAGTACACTTTAGATTTTGTTCCACAAATGTCCATATGCTTCAATTTGGGAAGGCAGAAGAGAAGAGAAACAGTTCCCTTTGTCCCCAGCCCATGTGGTCACTCTGGTAACTTAAATATGAAAACTTGTGGAAGACTGGCTTCATGCCTGTAAATCCCAGTATCTCAGGAGATGAAATGGGAGACTCGCAGCTCAAGGCCACACTGGGAAAAAGTTAGATCTCAATTTCAACTACAAACAAGCTGAGCAGGTGGTTACGTGTCCTGTCATTCCGCGCTATGGGAGATGGCAATAGGTGGGAGAATCCCTGTCTGAGCCAGCCCTGGCAAACCACCAGACCCTACCTGACAAAATACACTCCAAGCAAAAAAAGGGCTGGGGTGTGGCTGAAATGATAGAGTAGCTTGCCCTAGCAATCTACACGAGTTGCTGAATTCAAACTGCCCATACTACCTGAAGAAACAAAGATGTAATTTTTTAGCTGGATATGGAAGCATACTCTATAATGCCAGAACACGGGGGGACTGAGGCACGGAGAAATCTTCTAGCCATAGCCAAGCCGTGTTACAATATAGTAAGACTCTGTCTCAAAAAAAAAATTTAATTCATTTATCTTTAAATAAGTAAATTGATCTCCATTTTCTTGGCTGAGCTGTGATGCATGGCATGGAACAGAATCAATTCATTTTCGCATTTTCCTACAGTACTCCAACAAATTATTTTGTTTGATGGACTGCAGCAGGTAGGATGTAATGACTAAAATCTTTTTGCATATCACAATTAATAGTCACTTTATTTGCTATGAGCCCCTTCCTGGACTGTTTTTTCTTTCTTTTTTTTTTCCCCTTTTTTAATTTTGACACTTACATTGTGCATTGTTTATGGGTCATGCGTGATGTTTTTGCTACAACGCTTTATCGTAATTCTTTACAGCAGAGCAGATCATTTGCGTTTGATCTAAACTCAAATAAACTAGTCTCTAAAGGATTAGTGCGGTAATTTACCATCTGCACTGGCTGTCTGCTATACAGATGGTAAACAAGAGTACTAATCTAGAAGAATAAGCAGTCCCTTGTTCCCATATTGTTCCACAGTTTGCTCCTATGTTCTGGGATCATTTGGGTCCTCATCTCTTAGAAAGGAACCGCGAAGAGCATACAGAAGAGTAAAATTAAGTAACTCGAAAGTGCTCTGTTTTGAAATTCATTATATATTTTTTTAAAAGTTTATTACTTGCTAAGATGAATTCATGTACCATACAATTACCCATCGAGTTCCTATATATTCAGCTGTTTTCAGTATATTTATAGACTTGTGTTATTTACAGAGTTTATTAGTATCTTTATAGAGTTGCCAAAAATTTAATTTTCAGAACATTTTCATCATTCCAACATGAACAGAAACAGTTTTCTATGGATTTGCCTTCTGTGGCTTTTCCCCTAATTTCTAATTTTGCAATACTCCAGCATTTGTCATGGTCTGTCTTCTATAATATCAGTCATGCCAGTGTGTGTGAGTGATGCTTCCTTTCCTGGAAAGTAGTACTAGGGTTTGAACTTCAAGGGTTTTTGCGCTTTGCAAAGCAGGCTCTCTCAACCAGTGCGTGAGCCTTGCCTCTTAGCCCTTTCCTCTTTTTTTTTTAAACAAGGGTCTTGCTGTGTAGTTTTCAGGCTGGCCTCCAACTTCCATCCTCCGCCAACCTCCTGACGCTGGGTTATAGGTGTGAACCATCATGCCTGGCCCTTTGCTGTGGTTTTTTGATCTTGCAGTACTTTCAGTGCTGCTAACTCTACAGTCTGCTATTCCTGATGTTTCTCAAGTTTTAATGTTTCTGGCTGGAAGCACGTGTCCCATGCT